CCCTTCCTTTCGCATTTACTTTTTTTGTGTTTCACTTCTGAGTGCTCTCTAAATCTACGCCACAACCGTCGAACTGATGAAGTCCAGTTGCAGCGCACCTGTTGCGAAAGGAAGAAGAAGCGAGTAACAATGAAGCGAATTGGAGGCTCAACCCCTTTCGCCTTGTCCAGCTGCCCTTCGGTTTTCTGTAATATGTAAATGCCCCGTCTCTTGGCTCCAGTTCCCCCTTGTGATGATTGGAAATGAAATTGTCATTGTATTCTTTTGCGCGATCTGGAAGTACGCGGCGGCAACTTGGGGCTACTGTCGCTTGAAACTATTGTGTGTGCCCGGTGGGAGCTTGGAGCTGCTGCCGGACGATTTTTGGGGTTCGTTTACTCTTTTTGATTTGCTTAATATTGCACTAATAAAGAAGTGTGTCTTGTTACTTGGTGCCCCTCAACTGCGGAGCGCTTCCCCGCAGCCAGGTAGGCATGCCCGCTCCAGCTTCTCTTCCTTCCGAGCGTTACACACCACTCAGTGGACCGAAACGTCTCAACTCATCTTTCTGTTAGCTTATTAATATTTTTCGCTTTCTTATAAGTCATTTTCTCTTCGTCTATTTCGGTTCTGCCGTATCATCCAGCACAAAAGCAATTAACAACGAAAGTGACAGCGGGTGCACAACGAACTTAACAGACTCAAGAGCCTCGGCGAAGGGTTTATTAGTACTGCGAAAAGCCAGACATCATGGCCAAAACTTACCTCCTTCTCATCGCCGACGATAAATTCAACATCACAGCCAAAGCCTTTGCGCAACAACTTGGTAAGTCGCTGTGCCAGCCCCATGCCATACTCGGAAGCGCTGTGATCGTGTTCGTACTCACTGGTGCTCCCCTCAGACATCGTCACAGAGTCGATTACCCACTCTATAGCTTGCCTGATCTTCTCCACATTTACTGAAATATGGCCTGGTCACGCGAAAATCGAAATCAACTAAACCGTTAAATGCTTCACGGCCAGCAAAATCTCTCCTAATTCGCGTTAACAATGGGGATACTCAGCGCTCATCGCATGCCTAAACGAAGCAAGTGTCTTAGAAAACATGCTTCAGTACGATAAAAAAGTTTCAGCCTTGTAGCTTTTGTGGGTCTTAACATAAAAAAACAGTAGAAGCACATACACACAGGCACACACACATACACACACACATTCAAACACACGCACACGCATACACACACAATTAACCCCTTGACAGTACGCGTTTTGAAATTGCATAGATGCAAAAAAACATGTAAAAAGCGGCTTTTGTAGGTCTTAGCATGAATAACCAATAGAAACGCACACACACGCGCACGTACGCACACACATGCAGACACACGCACACATACACATACACACAGATACACGTCCACGCACACACACAGACAACTAACCCCTCGGCAATACGCATTTCTGCATTGCATAGATGCGAAAAACATGTAAAAAGCGTCAAAGATACCCAAGAAAAGCTTGCAAAATGGCCAGAAATATGTGCCGATTTTGATAACAAATAGAAACTATGTATGCGGCTATCACAAATACAGATATAAAAGCTCCAACTGTTACAATAGGATGGGCAGTACGGGCCGTAGAGGTCCTATGAGGATCATATCAATACAAACTATGAACAGCCCATCCAGAGGACTGCAAACACCGGCCAATACAATCAGGGGTGAAATAGGAAGGGCAGCACGGGCCGTAAGTATGCGGCATTTCAGAAGGTGACAGAACTTGCTTTCCTCCCTCCCCCATCTTCTAATCGTTTTCTTGTCTTCGCCCCTTTTTTATCAGCTCCAAACTGCCGCCGCGCACCTTCAGATTACGCCAAACAAAACAACCACAATAACTATTTCATTTCCATTCATCACATCAAATATCACTGAGGGAGGAACTCGAGTCAAGCCTCAGGACATTTGCATACTACAGGAAACCGGAGGACAACTGGACAAGGCGAAGAGGATTTAGCGTCCAACTTCGCTTTCTTGTTACTCGCTGCTTCTTCCTTTTGCAACACCTCATTGCTCTAGTCTTATGCTACGGCACACATGCTCACCATATAAATGGAGAGTACTACCATTCGCATGCTGCGTTCGGTCCGTGTTTACAGCTAAGGGATGAAACAAAGGCTGCTGCTGCTTCCTAACATTTCTTCGCTACCTAGATTGATTTCCGCTTCGAATATTTAACGAGTCACGATTCAAAGGAGGATCCCGTGATGGCGAAACTGAAGAAGTCCTTTCTCTCCCGGTCCTACAAACACTACGAAAAAGGACTCAATTAGCAACGGAAAGCATAAAATCACCTATTTCCAGTAGAATGCCCCAATTGTACATTATTATTAGAGGCCCTCTGTTTCTACATCCTGCCCCGATGCCTCCTGGATGGGGCCAGAGAACATGCTGCACCAAATGCCGATATCTCAAAAGCTGCTACGAAATAACCGTGGAATCCAGCAATCACGGGAACTCGGCTAGGCCTGTGATCAGAAAGCGTTGGCATCGATCGCCGGGACCGCTTGGCACTTTGCCAGGAGCAATGGGCAGCGTTGACCAGTGCATTACGGACTGGTCAGCGCTGCCCAGTGCTCCTGGCAAAGTGCCAAGTGGTGTTGG